TAATTAGAAAGGCTTCGAGGAGGTTTGTACTGGTTGGCCTCACTTGTGAGCAGCCGTAATATGATGAGCGATTAGGGACTCTGAAGCTTTTTAGCAGGTATCATTAAGCTACTGATGAGCTCAGGCGGGGAAAGGGACTTTTTGGCTGTGCCTGAAACCGACTGGTCCTGTGCTGACCCGGCTCTTCCTCCTCTCGTGGTCCCCGACCTCCTGAGCCCCAGTGAGGTGGGTACAGTGTGTGCCCTGGAGATACCAATGGCTCAGCTGTCACCCTGTGTCCCTGGATAGGGTCAGGTCTGGTGTCCTTCAGCTCATCTGTGAGATGATGAGCTTGTGGTCATGCATGAGTGAAGCTGCAATGTCCTTATTTTCACTGTCTGACAGGAACTGAGGAAGTTTGGGGATGATTAGTTCTAAAAAGGTGGCTTTTGGGCTCTTTGTACATCAGGGGAGAGGACAGTGATGGCTGTCCTGGCAATCGCTCTGGGAGCATCTTGCTCCCAGGGAGCTCGTCTCTCATTTATGGGGTTTCCTCGCTTGTCTGAGTGCCAATGGTGAAGCCTTCTTGCTCAGGGAACATCCTCTCGAGGAGCAATGTCCCTGTCCCATCCTACTCTGCGCCCTCCCGAAGGCACCCAAGGGCTGGGGCAAGGCAGGGAGCAAAATCTGCTGTATTTTCTCTCTGCCCTCGCTCGTCTTGTCTGCCTTGGCAAAACTTCACGCAGCTCGGCAGCATCCTGCCCCGTCGTGGTCTGGTTGGCATCGCTAGCGCAGTATTTATGGCAGTGTTAATTAAATACTTTCTGCAATCAGTGCTGCGCACGACCCCGCTCCCCGAGCCGGGGTTGGGCTGTAATGTGCCATCACCGAGCGAGAACATGACTGCCTGCCATCCTGGGGAATTTCTAATAGAGATTTACTCATCCCAGGTCTCCCATTTCTCCGTTTCGTGACATTTTGCAAAGTTCAGGTTTACAAAATAAGCCAGCGCACGGAAGAGATGCTCCAGACATTATTTACACTGCACGTGCCATTTCCCACTCCATGGGGTCTTCACCTAGAAGTGAGTAGAATTGAGGGGAGAGCTGCCGGCTGCTCTCATGGGCTGGTCCTCTCTGCCCAAGGGGCCACCGCTTTTGGCGAGGACCACCCCATCACCCTGCCACAAAGCCCTCGGCGCTGGAGATCTCTGCTCCTCACGTGCCAGGAGAGCAGCAGAGCGCTGTGGCTGTGCCCATTGAAATGCTTGTGGCATCGTGCAGCTGAACCTGCATCTAATCCCCGCTCCAGTCCCGGGGCGAGGGATGGGGTGGGGGGGGGGAGCAGGCAGGGCAGGCAGCTGCTGTGGGTTTGGGGTGGTAATTGGGGATGCTCTGCATTTAAAAATAAGCCTGGGCTAAAAGCTGGCAGGGCGGTGGGGAGCATGGGAGGCAGCAGGCTGCTGGCAGAATCCCATTAGTGTGCGACAGCCTCCTGGGGTCTCAGCTACGGGCAGAAAAGCCCCTTTTCAGCAAATCACTCGTGGCAGGAGCTGCCTACTGCGGGAGGTCGAGGCAGAGCGTGTGCCAAAACCTGGGGACGGGGAGGAGGGGTCCATCCCAGCAGGGCACGGTCAGCCCCAGAGACTCGTCCCTCCTGGCACGGAGATGTACCGGCACAAAGGGGCACCCAGTGCCTTTCTGACCCACTCCCATTTACCCCGTGCCCAGGCTTTGGCAGCAGGACCTGGAGCAAACCGCTGAGCTGGGGGCACGGTCCTTCTTCTCCTCTTCCTCCTCTTCCTCAGGATGGAGCTGGCCAAGGGAGACCTCAGCTTAGCCGGCACCGCAGCAAGGGCAGCTCATCCCCTCTGGGGAAGGATCCGCTGGAAACCAAGCGTGTGCCAGCCCAGTGTGCAGCTGGGGTCTGGGGCACCCACCCAGCTCCCACCCCAGCCCGGTGGGATGGGGCCACCCTCAGCCCCGGGGGTGGGGGAGGCAGGGAAGGGGGTGGTGGCACCCATCCCCACGTCCAGGCACCCCGTTGAAACTCGGCCGTGGCCCCAGCTTTGAGCTGGGCTGTGGGGGACGGGGGCTGCGGGCTCTGGCACACCTCGCTCCCGCCCCGTGCCTGCCTTGTCAGGTCTGATCAGAAGGAGGATCAGTCGGCCCTGCGCTCTCTCTCCAGATTTAATTAACGGGCCTTTCATCTCTACCCTGAAGGAATCTGCTATCTTCTGTCTCCTTAATTAACGTTCATTAAGCAAATCAGAAGAACGTTTTCTCCTCACCGCCTCCACGGCTCTTAACCCTTACGGGGTGCCAGGTCCCACCAGGGCAGGAGAAGGCTCCTGGGCTGTGACGGCAGGTTAGGGTGCCATCACAGCCTTGGTCACCACTTCTCCACCATGCTTACACTAGCGTGCTGGGGCAGTGGGTGAAGTCTCTCTATGTGCAGGGGACTTCACCTGAGGTTGGGCCTCACTATACCAGTGGGGCTGGGGGGAAATCCCAGCTCTGATCGCTCCAGTGGATACCCTTGTTCAAACTCATCTGTATTCCTGGAAGACAAAGGTTTTCCGGTAACCAGCTTTAGCTCTTCATCCCGTCCAGGGGTGAAGCTCACCTGTGGCAAGGTGATGCATCTGTGTGTGAAGGTTTCACTGTGAGAAACCACCATCCAGACCTGCTAGGCATCGCGGTGCAGGAAAGGTGTGTCCAGCAGCTTGTTCTCAGAGAAAAGGGGATTATTTGGGGCTACTCCTGCCCTTCTCTTGGGGACTGAAGTTAGATGCGATGGTTTCTTTTCCTTCCCCTTGGTGGACATGCATGGGGGACAGGGTTGGACTAAGACCCTTGGCTGACCTCCCTCCTCTCTCAAGCCACAGCAGGGTGGTTGCCAGCCACTGGGACTGGGGGCGATATGTGCAGAGATGGAGTCTCCCACCTCCCCAGTTTGCCCTCAGAGACAATCTAAGGAATCCTGACTGTGAGGAACTGCTATTCTGTGCATGAGAGAGGGGGTGAGGTTTTCCAGCTGGCCTTCAGTCTGAGTCTCCAACAGCAGTCGGTCCTAGAGCAGTGCCAGACCACGAGCTGGAGCCAGATCCTGCCCGGAGCACTCATCCCATGCACAGCAAGTTTAGGGCATCTCCTTGGGGAAGCATGGGCTTGTGCCCAGCACCTGGCAGGAGCCTGGCAAGGGGCTCGGCCAGCCTGGGATGCAGCTGAATCAGTCTGGGGACATGCTGCTCCCATAACAGCTCCAGCATCCCCACTGCTGGGCACCGCAGTGTCACCACCAATTCCCATCAAGCTCTGGCCCTGTGGGCTATCCCCCCATGCCGGGTGGGCCATGCTGGAGGAGGAGGTGGGGTTGGGATAGTCATCAGCTTTGCTTGAATCCACTGTGCATCCCACAAGCAGCCTCCGAGCCCTGGTTGCGTGGTCTAATCACTCTCTAATGTGGACCCCTCTGCCAGAGGGCATGGGCTGGGTAGGGAAATCATCTCCTGGGTGTGTGTAACATCCCAAGGAAGACATGGCAAACCCATGATACAAGGGAGCCTCTCCTGCCCAGAGCTTGCAGCCTCAGTAGCAAGGGGAAAGCAAAACACCTGGAAAAACTCATCCCTGCAGGATGCAAATCCCTTTAAAACTGGTTGTGGAGACATGCAAGGCAATTATTAAGCTGAAAACCCTTTTCTTTCTCTCCAGAGGTTGACAGTGGGTTTGCCACCGGCCGCCTGCTCCCAGGCAGCTGATGCGCATCTCCTCGGTGCTGGGAAATTCGCCCTTCCCAGCGGAGCTGGCTCCGGCTGTCAGAGCCCAGGTCAATATATGGTAATGGGGCTTTGAAACGGTGCTGCTGCGGGAGCCGCTGCCGAAGACTCTGATTCACAGCTTCCCTCCGGTGCTTTCTCCCTGCAGTGTGCATGGAGAAGGAGAATAAAATAAATAAGAGTAGAAGGGAAGGGGAGGAAGGGAGCTTCAATTATAAATGAGGACTAAGTTTCCAGGGCTCCTGCGGGCAGCTCAGCTGAGGAGTTTGGGGGGCAGAGCCTGTGGTCCCCCGTGCATCCCCCATTTTTGCAAACAGCCCCCTGCAGAGCGGGGCTGGTGGGTGTCGGGGTCTGCCCAGGAGCGTGGCACCACGCTGGCCTGCCTGTCTCCCTGCTTGCTGTCACCCTCCTGTCCCCATGGCTCAAATCTGGAGGGTGCCACAGTCTGGAAAGGAAACCCCTCTGGCACAGACTGTAATTAGCATTACCTGAGAAGCTGCTAATGAGGTCTGGTGACTGTCTGGTTTTGCTGCCCCATGGAGATGCCTCCACAGTGATGTGCCCTTGCCTTGGTCCAGGGCACTGGGCTGCCCCGTGGCAGCGGGCAGGGATGGGACTTCCACCCATGGGTGCTGGTGTGGAGGCATCGGGGGGTGCCACGGTCCCACGACCCAGCCAGGCTGGTGTGAGTGGGGGAGCAGTGGGGTCCCCATAAATCACTGTGAGGGCGTGGGTGCTGGGGTGGTGCTGGGTCTGCCTTTCCTCCACCCCCTCTTGAGTTTGGGGCCGTGAGAAAATCGGTGACCCCCACCAATTTAAGCGAAAAGCCCACATGTTGGGCATGAATCACCCCGAGCTCATCCCCGGGGCTGAGAAATGGAGGAGCTCAGCTCCATCCGTGCAGCTGAAGGTCCAACCACCCCCCCGGGTTCCCGAAGGAACAGGGCCAGGGTTCACCTCGCTGGGGGGGTCCCATCCTGCCCGGCCCTGTGGCCCGGGGACCAGGGTGGCCTGGGGGAAGCCCAAACCCCGCAGCCCAGGCTCACACACGAAGCTTTCGACATTCCCAGCAGCTTCCACAAGATGGACCTCGGAGCGAGAGGAGGTGCCGGGTAGGGGGACCCATAGCATCTCATCATCCCATCCCATCCCACTCCATCCCATCCCATCCCATCCCGTCCCGCCTGCTCCCGCCATGCCATCCAGAGGAGGCTCAGAGTTCGGCCAGGCGAGCCCCGGCATGGCACGGCCTCCCGGGCTCTGCCTGCTGGTCCTGCTGGGGCTGGGGACGGGGACGGGGGGCTCACCCGCCTGCTGGGACCCCCGGGGCCAGCCCCGCCGCTGCATGCCCGTCTTTGAGAACGCCGCCTTCGGCCGTGCCGCCCAGGCCACCAACACGTGCGGTTCCCCCCCCGAGGACTACTGCCAGCAGATGGGTGCCCGCCATGCCAGCGCCCTGTGCCACCGCTGCGATGCCACCGACCCCCGGCTCCACCACAACGCCTCCTTCCTCACCGACTTCCACAGCCAGGAGGAGAGCACTTGGTGGCAGAGCCAGTCCATGGCCTTTGGCATCCAGCACCCCAACTCCGTCAACATCACCCTCCACCTGGGTAAGTGCCGGCGAGGGAAACCGGCAGCGAGTGCATTGAGACCCGGGTGCACGGCTGGGGGGGGATGGATGCTTCTGCACTCCCCAGCTCTTGGTGCTGCTTTTGGGTTAAAGACAGAAACCTCCCCGGGGTTTTTAGGGGGTGCAAGGAGGGGGCATGCCCTCTGCAAAGGGTAGATCGCTGAAATGACCTGGGGAGGGTCTGCCCCGTCCATCAGCTGAGCCCCGGTCCCTTGCAGGGTGAGGATGCCGGTGGCTGTGCCCGCCTTTGCCGCTTCCCAGCCAGCCGTGCCCAGGGTGCCTGCTCTCCCGCTGCCTCAAGGCTCCTTTTAACCGGTGATGCGAGTTTGCGGAGCGGGAGGCAGGCGGGGGGAGGCAGAGACAGCCCCCCGTGAGAGCTTTGCCACTGGGGTGAGCACCGTGGGTGCCAAGCTGTGCCGTTCTGCCCCTGTGCATTGCTGCGGATGCCCGGTACGTCTCGGGGGGACAGAGCTCTGCACACACCGCGCAGCCCCCAGCAGGCTTCCCCAGCCGGGATCCGACCTTCAGTGTTTTAAATATTGTGCAAGCCGCCCCGCTTGGAGCGTACTCAAACCCCTGGGGTACGCCTGGCATTTCAAAAAGGATTTTTAACACTTTCCTGCCATCTAAACTATCCTGGCTGTTGACCGGCTGTAAAATCTTCATTCTTTGCCGTCTCCTGCCATCTGTACGCCGAAGGGGGGGTAGCGGAGGGGCTGCGGTTGGAGCTGGTAAGGGGACAGCTGAGCGCGTGGTGTGGCACAGAGCCGTGCTGGTGGGACCCGGTGGCCGGAGTCGGGGTGACGGAGGGGGGTCTGTGCCTTCCCTGACAGGGATGCGGGAGCTGCCCGGCTGGGCGGAGGTCACTGCTTTCCCAGCCCCCTGTGAGCGGGTGGACATCTGGTCCTCGTCCCCAGGCTGGGGCTGGGCTCCCCGCTGGGCATGAGAAGGGATGCCGGAGGAGCGTGCCATGCCCGGGCACTGCTCCGGCTCCTGCCAGCCCCGCGGGAGGGGATCTGCCGGCCCCTCGCCCAACTAATGCAGGCTGTCATGTTGCCCCAAATTCGTTTGTGTTTGACCCGGAGCATAGACAACCCGAATGCAACCTGCATGGCTGAGCGAGCCACCGCTGGGCAAGTTTGTGGCCACTAGTCCCAGCTCGGCAAACAGATATGTGCGGGCTCCGCACGTCGATGTGTGCAGCCTCCTTGAGCCTCAGGGCTTGCTTCCCCATCTCTCTCTTTCTCCTGGCTCTTCCCCAGCGCCTCTGCAGACCCTGCGAGACCCCACACTCGGGTTTCCAGTGGAGTCTTGTCCAGCGCCTGTGACCACTCTGCCTATGCCTATCTCCCATGAACACATCCAAGCACAACGTTGCACCGAGCCCATCTTCACCCCTGATCCATGCGTCCCTTCCTGAGCCGGAGCATCCCCCTGCAAATGTACCCTTATTCCCGCATGGCTCTTATATCTTGCCATGCTAAAACGTGCCATTTTCGTGCCCGGCACATTGCTGTCTGACCTTTCCCACAGCCCCCGGGCCCTGTTCTTGTCCCATCTGCAGACCTTTTAATTGCTACCTACATGCTTTCACTTGGGTTATGGAGGAAAATCCCAACCGGCCCCTGCAGCTCCTCCGGACGTGGCCCAGGATGAGTCCTCGATTCCTTGCTCGTGTGCTCCACCCAGCAATTGTTTTTTTTAACCCATGTGGCTCGTCCCTGCCAGCCTGCTCATCTCGCTCAGTCCCGACTCAGACGTCTTGTAGGTTCTCCAGCGTGGTTACCTGGGGAGCTTATTAAATAAGATATCGAATGAGTTGGACAAGACCTGTGTTTACCTGCATGCTGTTGATTGGCATTAATTAGATTATCCTCCTCTAAATCTCTCTTCTCTGTGAGGTTTCAGCCATGCCGTTGCAGTGCATCGGACTTGGAGCAGATCGATAATCCCGAACGCCTGTGGCTGTTGCGTTTAGCCTGTCAGATGTCAGGGAGGAACCCAAAATATCCGCGGGCTTGCAAAGGCAACAGGCACCGGGGCTCCTCGGGTAGCTCTCGGAATGCCAACGGCTCATGTCAGAGTGTACATTAGGCAGCGTCTGCATCTGTGATTCTGATGCTGATTTTCCTGTGGGATGTGAGCCTGTGGCAGGCTCCCGGGGCTGAGGTTCCAGGGGTTTGGAGGTGGCTGGAGACACTGACGTGACCGTCCCACGTGCTCCTCTCCCCTTCGCCTGGATCCCCTGGCGTGGTACAAGCTGCAGTTTGGGCTCTGCGGTAGGCCGGTGAAGACATGGTTTGGAGGACAGCACAGCTGGGAGAACATCAGGGGGGCTGGTGCTGTCACCCTGAGCTGCCTGCGTGCCCCCCCCGGTGTCCCCATCCCATGGCACACTCAGCTTTTGGGACATGTAACACCTTTTTGAGCAGGAAAAGGGAGACCACCAGCCTGGGTTATTTTCTGGATTCTTTTTTTTTTTTTTTTCCTGAGCAGAAGTTGGCTGATTAAAAGGCCTGTTTGGGAAAAGCACGCGCTCCCTCGGGATGCTTCCCTGGGGCAGCGAGTCTCCCCCATCCCAGCCGGAGGCACTGAGATCGGGGTCCCCCCAGCCCAGTCCAGCCCACCCTCCCCTCGCACGGGGCTGCGCGGGGCAGGAGCTGTTTATTGACACAGCGCTGAGCTGCCTTCCTCTCCCAGAGGAAACTGCTCCGGGAGGCGATGGCCCCGACCTCGCTGTTTTGCTAGACATCCCTCCCGGGACCGTGCTGTCTGGGAACCGGCGCCCGCCGGGCGTCCCCCCACCGTGGGGTTCAGGAGAGGGGCACCCCCACTATCGCCGGCTCCAGAGGGGTCCTGGAGGGATGTGAATTTGCGGGGAGGCACAGGGGAGTATGGCAGTGGGGGGACAGCCCGGTTGCAGCCCCTTCCCGGCCCTCGTCACCTCCGGGTGGGCTGCGAGTGGGTCTGTTGTCCCCACTCGGGCGCTCGGCCGGGTGCTCCCTGTGTCCCTGATGGGAAGCAGCTGCTTTTCCCAGCGCCGGTAGCCGGGCTGCCTCGGCTCCCCCGCAGCAAAGTCGCAGCACATATGCGACAGTATTCATATGGGCCCAATTAAAGGCTTGTTTTCCTAGTCCCAGAATAACCCCTCTAACATTCCCAACTCATTATCTTTTCAAATAAAGCCAAAACCTTGCAGCTAATTGTTTTGCGCTGTCAGGAGCGGTGTTGTTATGGAGCAATCCAGTCTTTGAGCTGGTCCTTCATCTCTGGCAATTAAGCGGTTCTGATGTTCGCTTTGGTGTTTTCTTTTCCTCTTTTTGCTAATTCTTTCAAGCACTTTCAGAGCTGCGCCATCTGCCCCGGGGATTGGTGGCCTCTCTTTGTCTTCATGCCGGCAAAGACGGCAGCGGTGCCGGGTCCTGGCACGTGGCTCCTCGTGAAGGGACCGGCCTTGAGCCGTTCCACCTCCCCACCCCCGTGGCACCGCTGCCCCGGGGACGCTGCTCCGTGCCGTGGGCTGGCGGTTAGAGCCTCGGCTTTGCAGCGGCTCCTTGCCCATGCAAACCCCCTGGGTGCATCCCCGCAATGGGTGAGGGGTTGCATTGGGGCGAGAGCTGATTTGGGGCTGGATGGGGTTTGGGCTGCAGCGAGGAGGAGCTGGTTAAGGGCAGCCGGATGGTCATTTCTGCTTTGCACAAAACCACTCCGCTTCTAGCCGTGGTGGGGAGAGCGGGATGGTGCCCGTGTGGGATGCCAGCAGCCGTGCAGGATGGGGCACCGGGATAATTTCAGCCCTGGTGCAGGCTGTGGTGCCCATCAGGCAGCCGGGAGAGGGTGACAGCGTGGCGGGTCTGTCCCCAGGCAAAGCCTACGAGATCACCTACGTGCGGTTGAAGTTTCACACCAGCCGCCCTGAGAGTTTCGCCATCTACAAGCGCAGCCACGCCGAGGGGCCCTGGGTGCCCTTCCAGTACTACAGCGCGTCCTGCGAGAAGACCTACGGGAAGCGGCAGCGGCACTACCTGCGGCCGGGGGAGGACGAGCAAGTGGCCTTCTGCACCGACGAATTCAGTGACATCTCCCCGTTGAGCGGGGGCAACGTCGCCTTCTCCACCCTCGAGGGACGGCCCAGCGCCTACAATTTTGACGGGAGCCCCGCGCTGCAGGTGATGCTAGGGTGGGAGTGGGGTGGGTGTGTGGTGCCCCGGGACCGGGTGCACTAATACCGGGGTAAAATTGCCTGTGATGCCCTGCACCCCTCACCGTGTCCCCTGCAGGAGTGGGTGACTGTCACCGACCTGCTCATCTCCTTGAACCGGCTCAACACGTTCGGGGACGACATCTTCAAGGACCCCAAAGTGCTGCAGTCGTACTACTACGCTATCTCTGACTTCTCCGTCGGCGGCAGGTGAGGGGCAGCCGAGCCTGAGGGCAGCAGGCGGTCCCTTCCCGGGGGCTGTGGGGCGGGGGCAGCTGCTCCCCACCTCGGTCTTGTTTGAATTGCATTTTTGGGGCAAACTGCTCAAATATGGCTTCCTCCATGTGTAAACCAGATCTGATGGTGTGCAGATGGGTGGTGAAACCTGGAGCCCTTCCAGTTATGCAGAAAGCAGGTCTTTTCCCTGCAAGCCCTCTCCATATCATAGAATCATAGAATGGTTTGGGTTGGAAGGGACCTTAAGGACCACCTAGTTCCAACCCCCCTGCCCTGGGCAGGGACACCTTCCACCAGACCAGGTTGCCCAAAGCTCTGTTTGCCATCAGCTTTGCCTTCTCCCAGTCCCACAGCTTTTAACGGCACTGGGGAACGTGTGGCTCCTCCTGTGGCCCTGCTTGGCCCCTGTGGGCAGCAAAAGAAGGGTCCCGGGATGCCAATGGAGAGGTGCCCTGAGGCTGCGGAGGCCGGTGGAGGAGCTTGGAGTCGGCACGGCCACGGCCAGAGGAGCCGGTGTGGGACAGAGATGTTGGTGGCACCCACACGGTGCTGCCCATGGGCTGTGCTGCACGTGCCCTCCCCGGGCTGGGGAGTGGGAAATCTCTCCATCCCAGTCGGCGCTGCTTCCCCTCGGGCAGTGGGGCCCGGCCTGCTCCCAGCTGGCCCCCAGCCCCTGTCACTGTCATGTCCGCCCCCCGCCTCCCCGGGCCCCAGCAGCTGGAGCTGGTTAGCATCTCACAAGGGCCACCCTCAGCGTGTGACCTCCCAGCTGGCTGGGATGGGAGCACCTTGGGGACACCACGGGTGCCCTCAAGGCCAAGCACAGCCCCAGCTGCTTTCTGCCCCACGGCCGCCCCAGGGCGATCCTGCCCAGCAGCGGGGCCACACGCTGCACAGCCTGGGCACCGTCCCGCTGCCGGCTGGGGCCCGCGCCACCGCCGAGGCTGCCAACGAGTGTCTCCGTGAGTATCGGCCAGGCTGGTCACGGCGTGTGGTCGGCCCCGATGGGCTGCAGTAGCTCGCCTGGCAGCCCCCGCCCCTCCTGCGTGGGGAGAAAGCCCCTGCTCCATTCGCTAAGGCTGCTTTGGGCAGGGAGGGGGGATTTCACAGAATCACAGACTGGTCAGGGTTGGAAGGGACCTCTGGAGATCATCTAGTCCCACCCCCCTGCCAGAGCAGGGTCACCTACAGCAGGTTGCACAGGACGGCGTCCAGGCGGGGTTGGGATGGCTCCAGAGGGGGAGACTCCACAACCTCTCTGCGCGGCCTGTGCCACTGCTCTGCCACCCTCAAAGTAAAGAAGTTCCTCCTCATGTTAAGGTGGACCTTCCTATGTTCAAGCTTGTGCCCGTTACCCCTCGTCCTGTGACTGGGCACCACTGAGAAAAGACTGCTCCCATCCCCCTGGCATCCTCCCTTTAAGGATTTGTAATCCTTTAAGGATTCGCACCCCAGGGCCCCCCTTCACAGCATCACCCTGAGGATTCCCCAACATTTCCTTATCCCGTGAGTGCTGCCGTCTGTTCCGTGCACGGTGCTGCACCCACCTCTGCTTCCAATGGCAGAGGCACTGCCGAAAGCTCACGCTGCTGATCCAAGCAGCCCCTCTGGCTCATCCAATTCCCCCAGGAGGCTGCTTTAACCCCCGGGTGAGCCCTGTGCACCCCCTCCCCGGGTGCTGACCACCCCTCCCGCCTCCCCCCAGCTTGCAACTGCAGCGGCCGCTCAGAGGAGTTTTTTTCCCGGGCGTCCTCCCGCCCGCGCGGCCCCGGGGGCCCCTGGCCGCAACTGCCGCGACAACACGGCCGGTCCCCACTGCGAGCGTTGCCAACAGAACCACTATCGCTGGGAGCAGCAGGCAGCCTGCCAGCCCTGCCACTGCCACCCCGCAGGTATGTGGGGCTGCGCCGTACCGGGCTCCGGCTTCAAAACCCCTGTCCTAGCCGGGGCTGGGCTGGGAGGGATGGTTTTGGTTGGTCCTCCCTTATCCGGGGTCTCCCCATCTCTCCCCACCCGTGTCTCTCCCCACCTGGGGCAGAGCCTCAGGGCTGGCTGGGGTCCCCACAGGTTCTCTGCAGCCCCAGTGTGACAGTTCGGGGACATGCCTCTGCAAAGCCAATGTGACGGGCTGGAAGTGCGAGCGCTGTAAGGATGGCTACCACAGCCTCAGCGAAGGGGGCTGCAGGTGAGGAGGGGCCCGGCCCCCGGCAGGAGCAGCGGGACGGAACCGGGGCTCACCTCGTGCCTTTGTCTCGCCCCATCCAGACCCTGCGCCTGCGACCCCGCGGGCAGCGTGGGCATCTGTGACCCCAACACGGGGCATTGCACCTGCAAGGAGAGGGTGGAGGGGCACTTGTGCAACAGGTAAGCACCGTGACTCTGGGATGGGGACGGGACCGCGGCCCCTTTCCAGGCTGGGATCAGTGCAGGGCAGGCGTCTTCACTCTCGCGGGGCATTGCTGCTTCCCCAGCCCCTACACACAACCCCTCTCCGGGGCTTTGCGGTGGGAATCCTGCAGGGTCGCTCCCTGCAGAGCCCACGGCTGGCTGGGGGGGTGAGGGGCTGCATCCCTCTGGACCACTGGGACCGGGCTCACTCGGAGCTGCCACCAGTGTCCCCTGCAGAGTGCTGCTGTGGTCCCTTGTGGGTATGCCTGCCCCTTGCCACCTGCCCCTGTTTCCTCCCTGTGCCCAGGTGCCAGCCAGGCTGGTTTAACCTGCAGCCCCACAGCAGAGCCCACGGCTGGCTGGGGGGGTGAGGGGCTGCATCCCTCTGGACCACTGGGACCGGGCTCACTCGGAGCTGCCACCAGTGTCCCCTGCAGAGTGCTGCTGTGGTCCCTTGTGGGTATGCCTGCCCCTTGCCACCTGCCCCTGTTTCCTCCCTGTGCCCAGGTGCCAGCCAGGCTGGTTTAACCTGCAGCCCCACAACCCTGCTGGCTGCCCCAGCTGCTTCTGCTACGGCCACTCCACCGCCTGCACGGCAGCAGATGGCTACGAGGTGACCCACGTCCGCTCCGACTTCAGCCAAGGTACCAACTCCCCAGCCCCGGGTGAAAAGAAGGGCACAGCTGCACCAACTCCAGCCAAAAAATTCTGGCGGTTTGGGAAGGCTGGGGCAGAGCATCCCGCTTTGGGGCTGAGCATCCCCTGTTTTGGGCTTGAGCATCCTGTCCTGGGGCTGGCTGATGGTGGCGGCTGGAGGGTGATTTCTCTGACTCACCCCTGCTTTTGCCCCCAGCTCCATGGCTTTTCCTCCTGGGCTTTCTCTGCCCCCGCCGTGGCATCCCTCCATGCTGACCTGCTCCCAGGGCTGTGCATGGCTCAGAGATGGCTGCTGCACTGCACACAGCCATCCCACCCCACCCCACCAGGGATGGCAGGGAGCACTAAAAATCATCTCAGAAAGATAAAAACTAGAAGGATGGGAACTTTCCCCCTTATTCCCTCCCCCCCCCATCCTCAGCAGGGATGAGGTAGGGCAGCCGGGGGGGGCCGGTGGAGCGGGATGAGGTGCTCTCGCCCAGCTGCAGCCGGGGCTGTGCGTGGCAGGGCTGGATGTGTGCGGGATGTTCGGGGAAACCCTGCCATCTGCCGCACAGCCCGACGCCTGCACCTCGGCAGGGTACGGGCACCCATCACGGCTCTCTGTCTCGCCTGTACCCCGACAGTGAGCAGATGGAGGCGAACACGCCAGGCGCGGGTTTATCCTGATTGCCTTTCATCCCCGCTGCCAATTGCTGTGCTGCCGTAACGTCTTCCACGGCCTTGAAACCGAGCCAGGCTTTAAACTGAGCCTTTTTTCCACCCTTCATGCAGCCAATTTGGGGCTGCTCGTTTAGGAACAGGTTTGGCAGAGCCCTGGGCTGGGTTGCAAGAGGCTCGGCCGGACCGGGCAGCGCAGGGCAGGGTGCAGCCCTCCCCCGCCTCCTAAAGCCCCGCTCCCCAACGTGCTCCCAAACCCACAGCTGAGCTGCATCAGCTGGAAGTTTCCTGCACTGGGTGAAAGGGTCCAAATTTGGGTCAATTTGATAATCGAGCGCAGCCCACTCCAGAGCTGGGGAGGGATTTCCAAGTGTTCATCCTGCGGGCGCCCGGGGCTGGAAGAAATAACTAACCCTGGGGAGTGGGGGGGGGGAGTTTAACTGATTTCCGAAGGAAACCAACTTAATGCAATTACGCCCCGTCTCTCCCTGGGCTTCCTGCCCCTCCAGCCCACGGTAATGTTAGAACCGCAGCCCAGCAGAGGGGCAAAAGTTTAAAGATAATAATTTCCTCCAAATCTAAAAAAACAAACAGATATGGGGGCGGCTGGGGCCACTCTCCAGTACGTGAGAGCACAGAGCCTGAGCGAAGCAGGGTGTTGCAAAGCGCCAACCCCTTACATGACCCTGGAGAGTCTCGGAAAGAGGGACAGAACCCCCAAAAGCAGCACCCCGCTGGCGCTGGGCTGGTGGGGACTCGCTGCTCCCTTTGCCCGTGTGCCACTGCTGTGTGCCCTCATGCAGGGCTGGAGGGATGGGCTGCCGCTGCTCCGGGCACCGTGGACCTGCCTCTGCGCTGCGCTGACGGGGAGATCGTCACCGAATGGGATGGAGAGGAGACAGTGGATTTTCTTGCACCAGGTATGTGCCACGTCCCTGGGGTCCTGTTCTGCCACGGGGACCCCCTGGTGCTCTCATGGGACATCGCACCTCTAAGCTGGTGCATGAGGTGCTGTGCTCCATCCCAGAGCTGAGCGTGTTTTGGTAACACGAGGCATTGGGGGAGGTGGGCTGGGACCCTGGGAGGGCAGGTTGGAGCTGGCCCTGCTCTAGGACAGTGACTGTGGCTCCTGGTGATGCTGGTGGGAACAGGACCGTGCCAGGGTACACCCATGTCCTACAGATTTTGCTCCTCTCTCCACCCACAGAGAAGTTTCTGCAGAACCAGCGCCTCAGTTACGGGCAGCTCTTGTCCCTGCTGCTGGGAGCAGATGGGAACGGGACGGGGATGGAGACTGGGGTGCCCCCGCTCCGGGTCCAGCTGGTGCTGGAGGGTGAGGGGATGGAGATCACCATGTCCAGCAGCGAGAGCCAGCCCCAGCGCGGAAAGCTGGCTGTCACCTTCAGGTACCTGTCGCGGCACTTTGGGGGTACCTCGGCTGGGTTTGGGACACAGCGTGTCTGATCTTGCCTGGGCTGCCCTGTGCTGCGGGGTTCAGCCCCACTCCCTGCCCCCTTTGGGGATTTAACTGTGCCCCCAGCGCTGCGCCCGGGTCTCGAGCGGCGGGTGGCTGTCAGGCTGGCCCTGTCCTTCCTCCCTCGCTCCTTCTCCAACAGGCTGCACGAGGCAGAGGAGGGTGCAGAACCTCTGCTGTCGGCCTTCAGCTTCCAGCGCCTGCTCTCCAACCTGACCGCCCTCCGCCTCCGTGTGAGCCATGGCTCCATGCAAGGTGGGTGGCTCCATGCAACGTCCCCGTGCTGGGGACCAAGCTGGGATGGGGCTGGGGACAACATCAAGCTCTCAGGGACGAGACACATTGCAGGGGGTATGTTGGGGCAGGGGCTGGCTCCTCTCTGTGAGCACCCCTGGCCTCTCCAGGAGGTATTTTGGGGTCTCCTATGGCTGTCTGGAGTATTTCCAGACGGGATGGACAGAACAGGGCTGGGACATGGGCCATCCCATCCTCACGCCGCTCTCCCTTTTTGCAGGCAGGCTGTCCCTGAGCAAGGTCCAGCTCACGTCCGCTCGCCCCGGGCCGGGGGCACGGGCGGGCTGGGTGGAGGAGTGCACATGTCCCCCGGGCTACGCCGGGCAGTTCTGCCAGTCCTGCGCGCCCGGCTTCAAGCGGGAGATCCCCTTTGGTGGCCCCTTCGTCAGCTGCGTGCCCTGCGCCTGCAACCAGCACGGGGACTGCCACCCCCTCACAGGTGCGCACCCCACCGGCCCCCCAACTTGCGCCGCCACTGTGTGCACGGGTGACAAATCCGTGACTTGGCTTGTTTGCGAGGGATGCTGGAAACCATCTGTGAGGCTGCGATACCCCAAACTTGCAAGTTGGATTGCTTGGCTGGTTACAGGGACTGGGTTCATAAGCGCAGAGATAATTAATGAAGTGCAAAACAAGTGGTAATTTATAATAAGAGGGGCATCTTTCATGGTACTTTGTGACCAGAAAGGAGGAGAAAGGAAAGGTTTTGGTCCTCGGAGGAGTGGAGAGGCAGAGGCCAGGGCAGGAGAGAGGCAGAGGGTTTTGCCAGGACGGGTCTCGCAGGCAGCATCACTGCCCGAAGAGCGGAGCAGGACCGGGCGCAGCCCCGGCATCGGCAAACTGGGGGTGAACCTGAGCTGAGAAACAAGTAAAAGAGCAGGAAAATGCAGTGGTGCCAGGCTCACGGGAAGGCACCAGAGGAGCCACCTCTTGTGCTGCCAGCCCGAGCCCTGCTCTGCCTCCGGAGCCAGCTCAGAGGTGCGTGACTGTAGCAGGGATTGTGGCTTGAAGGCAGGAAAAAATCAAAAGCGAAGTCTTGGGGGCAGCACAGCTGTGTCTGGGGTGGTTCACAGGGTGTTGGCTCTCCCGTCTCCTGCCAGGCAGTGTCTGGATGGCTTTGGTCAGGGAAGGGGGGCAGGATTGCAACCCGCTGCCCTGAGGCTTGAGGTGGCTGCGTGTATCCAGCACCAGGCTCGCTGCTGCTGCCAGCCCCAGGGAAAGGGAGAGCAGAGCCACGAGGGGCTTGTGAGATGCTGCCTTGCTCCCCGTCCACCCCTGCAGAAAGCAGCAGCTCTGATGGGTGCTGAAAAGAGCTTGGAAACAAGAGGATGCTTTCGGTACCAGGATGGAGCCCCTGGGGCTCCTCGCTGGCCGGCTCCGCTCGGCCAGGAGCGACAATAGTGTACGGCTGGGATGGAAGGGGCTGGAAGAGGCGTCGTTGTGCTCAGCCAGTGCCCCGCTATGCCAGTGGAAACACAGCAGCAGCTCTGCAAACTCACCCCTCGTCTCGCAGAGCTGGGGCTGGCACCGCCGGCCGCACAGTCCCCAGGGACGGGGCCAGGCTTTTCATGTCCCAGCCCTGGAGCTGCCAGCCTGAACCAGCCCACATGCTTCCTTTCGTTTATTTTTCCGCTCCTTCCTGCCACCCGCTTTTCCTTTCTTTTCCATCATCCGGCTCTGCCTGGATGTGGGGAAAATGGAAAAATACCCATTCCCTCCTGCGCAACCCGCCCGGTATGACCTGACTCCACAAATCATGTGAAAAAATCCTCCCTTTGGCTCCTTCTCTCTCTCCAGTCAAGCAGAGCATCTGCCTGGAGGTGGGGGGGGTCCTTGAGCATCCTTCCTCCTCCTCCTCCCCCCAGCTGGTTTCGGAAGGCTGTGACTCACCGACTCGGCTCGCGAGGAGACGCTCGCTCCCCGCTGGGGTGCCGGTCGGTCGGCTGCTTGTGTTTTCCATGACAGGCTGGAAACGACGCGCCTCGTCGCTGGGAAATGTGTTGTCGATTATCGCAGGCGCCGACAGACTCCGTGCATGTTGACGGTGCTGCCTGCCTGCGCCAGCACCGCCTCGTCCCCGCTCCGCGGGGGAGCGTGGAGCTGGCACTGTGGCCTCAGTGTCCTCTCCAAAACCTTCTCCGTTGAGCAAGGACAGGGCAGGGAGGGAAAAGTGTTCCAAGTCCCGGTTGGGGATGTGCAATCCCAGCATGATCCATCCCTTGGCTGGAGTTGCACATCCCTCTCGGCACCTGCAGTGTGCCACACTCGGCACTTGGCTCTCCATCCCTCCTCCTGTCCCCACCGTTATTTGGGGCTGGGTTTTTTGCAGACCCTCAGCTCCATTTTCCTCCTCGCAGGACACTGCCAGTGCTTGCACAATACAGAAGGTCCCTCCTGCGAGCGCTGCAGCCCCGGGTTTTACGGCAACCCCTTTGTAGGGCGCTTCGATGACTGCAAGCCGTGCCCCTGCCCCGGCCGCTCGCCCTGCACCGAGATGCCCGGCAGCGGGGAGGTGGTCTGCACCCACTGCCCCCCGGGGCAGAGAGGTGAGGCTGCGAGTGGGTGGGTAAAGGGGCCGCGGGCAGCACTGGCACAGCCGAACCCTCCTCACCCTTATACCTTCCCCAGGAAAACGCTGTGAGCTCTGCGACGATGGGTTTTTCGGGGACCCCTTGGGGCAGAGGGGCCCCGTGCATCCCTGCATCCCCTGCCAGTGTCACGGGAACGTGGATCTCAACGCCGTGGGAAACTGCGACCCCGTGTCCGGCCGGTGCCTGCGCTGCCTCTACAACACAACGGGCGAGCACTGCGAGAGGTGTCGGCCGGGCTTCTACGGGGACGCTCGGGCTCCTGAACCCGCTGGGAAGTGTGCACGTACGTACGGACCCGGGGGCTGGCCCTGCTCCCCTGGGTCCCACTGCAGCCAAAATCCTCCCAGCAGTGGAAGCAGAGGGTGGAAAGATGCCCAGGGGGTTTAGGGGCCGATGGATGATCTGGGTTGGCCCCAACCACTCAGGAATGGCCTTTGCTCCCTCTCTCCACTGCCGTCCTTCCCCGGAGATACCCTGGTCTGCAGGGGCTCAGCCTCTCGGAGCCCTGTTTGACGGGGGGACGCAGCCCTCCACGTTGTGAGGGGCTCAGCCCCAGTGCCCCCCATTCCCACCCCCCCACCTGCCAGCCCCATGCCGGGATGTAAGTGGGATTTTGTCTCCCGTAGCTTGTGATTGCAACCCCGACGGCTCAGCCCCGGGGCAGGAGGGCTGCGATCCCGGCACGGGCCAGTGCCACTGCCTCCCACACGTGATGGGCAGAGCCTGCGGGCTCTGCCAGCCCGGCTACTACGGCCTGCAGCCTGCCGTGGGGTGCAGGAGGTATGTGGGGCACGGCGTGGGGCTGCAAGGGGACAGCGGTGGCTCTGTGTCACTGGCTGTGGTCACCGCTCTTTGCATGCGTTGCTCACTCATCATCCTCTTCCACCCCTCGGTGCCAGCTGTGAGTGCCACCCAACGGGGTCACAGGAGAGTGGGTGCCACGCGCTGACGGGGCAGTGCTCCCGCC